GTCTTTGCTAAAGCGGTCATCTGAGTAACAATGCTGCTGAATCTCACTGTTGTTTGCATTTAAGTACAGTAACACATTGTGAGTAAGACGTCCTAGGGACTCAGTTGAGCCATTGGATTATTTCTGTTTTCCAAGAGAAGGTGCGGAATGCTGTACCAATCCATCCAAATGTATGCATCCTTCAGCGCTCCTCGTTCTTGAGGAGAAAGCCTTCTGAATTTGAACATCATCTGACTCATGAGGTCATTCTCCACCTGTGGAGATTGAGAAGAGCGAGTCGACGAACAAAATAGGTCGCCTCTGCTGGATCATGAACTACTGTGACTGTGGCATCATTTTCAAGAGGCCCTGCCATCAGATTTGTAGGAACATCCTCTAAGAATCTTCAATGGTTTGCTCAGAAAGCCACACTAACCAAGTAAACATTGACAGAAGTTGCTGGCTGCACACTTTCAGGATAGGGTGAGGCAACGACGGCGTGTGCATGAGTTGAAAAACACAAATACCATTTGCCTTGGGCAGGCACGCGCAAAAGCACTTGTTGTGTCACAAAGCCTTGTGAACATGCCTGTGAGCAGTCTGCGATTGCAGTGCAACCAAATGGATTTGGCTCAATGATGCTCAATTTGTTCTAATCCGTTCTCGTCAAGTTCTGCTTTATATATGTGAGGAATCTCTACATGAGTTGGTTTCTAAATTACTTGCTTAAACTGTATTCCTTCAAAGTTAGGACGTCCCGTATCGTTTTACAATGTTTGGTAGAATGAGCACTGCATGTATCGTTTTGGTTTTACATGTTTCGCATGGTGGAGTCTTGACACCAACAATGAACGTCACGGATCATAACAAAGAAAACACAAACGCACAGACAACAAGACACAGGAACCCCTATTCGTGATCATTCATGATCTGACAGCATCCGCTGCAACCACTGGAAGTGTGACGAGCTCTTTCATGTCATGTCATGAGACAAAGACAACCCTGCCCACAGGCTGGCACCTGCACTTCACCGTTGATGATGTTTTTCAAAGCCCCTTGTAGAACGCTCAGCTGCTCACCAAATCTGTCAGGATGTGCGCGCCCAACCCATTGATGGGACACAAAAATGACCTTGCGAGCAAGCAAAAAGCAAAACTGCAAGACTAACATGCAAGAACAAAATCACACACAGTCGACACAAGCTAGCTGTGGAGGCAAGCCGCCAAAAAGTTCAATTGGTATTCAACCTTGGAGTGAGCCAGCACTGGCGGAAACCCTGTCAAAACAAGTTTCAAAGGCACGGAGACTCGTTTCGTGGACGTCCAGACTCTCACCTCTCACAGAACTTCCACCAAACGTCTGACTTCTGTGGACCCCAAACAACGCGAGGACAAGGATAAGGACAACGCGTGAGTCGTTCTATGTGCCCTTCAATTTCCACCCCGTCAGCAAAGGGAAAAAGAACACGCGTAGTCCTTCCTCTCGGTCCTACTCTGTTCCAGCCAACTTTGATTTTGATATATAACTATGACTATAGGATCATGTAGGATCTATAGGCGACCCATGCTGCAATCAATTCGGTCCTCCTTTCCGTTCCTTCAGTTCCTTCAATTCTACACCAAAGAACCAGGGCTCCAGGACCGGTTTTAGGCTTGGATGCTGTCCATAGACGAATGCACCCTCCCATCGCAACTTGAACTCTCACAGTCCCTGCTGCTTGGGCCCAATTACTTTCACCAACAGTCACAACAGTTCCTGATAGTGCCAAGAAGAAAAACATACAAGTTCATGCTTGTATACCTGTCAGTTTATCCTGCCAATGGCATTGTAAGTCGAACTTGCAGCTTGGAAACTAGGAGGCCTCGCTTTTGGAGCTCTTGGTGCATTGGAAGGGTCCCCTGCAACTCCAGAAAGTCAGAGACCTTCATCAGCCACATCTTGGCATACCTCACACCGAGTGATGTTTGAGTCAAACCTTGTAGAAAACCCTCATGCCCACTGGTTGAAGGAGGAATATACTGAGTCACAAATACCTACTGAGCTGGTCTAATCGGCCAGGAGTAGAAGGCTCTAAAGTCGGTTTTGACGTGGCTCAGTTGTGAAGTGCTCGGAGTGCTACAGCATTCAATCTCTCCAAACCACCTTGACCCCTTCCAACCCAAAACCCAACGTTAGCAAACCTCCTAGATTGTGTTGGCGAATGGACGAAACAAATCAAACCCTAAAACGCAAGTTGAAAAAAGTTGCCTTCAACATTGAACTTTGGGGGTGCAGGGTTGTGAGATGCAAGCTCCTTGGTTTTCCGTGTCTGTCGTGCGGTGTGGAATGTTCTGCTTCTGCATCTCCGACTGAGTGGCCATGAAACTCGTGCCGCGAAATGCTGTGTTTGAAAACTCCCCGTGTCGCACGAATCGATCTCTTCGCTTTCTCAATGTCTTTTCCACTGCCTTTTCAAATTTGCATGCACCTGCAGGCGGCTGTGCTATGCGCTTAGCTTTTTCCTTAACAAAAGCCTTTCCTCTATTTCTTCAAACAGTTTACTGTTGGGGCTCTTTGCTCTTAGGAAAAAGGGGCTGGCCACACTGACTGGCCAAAACCCCTGAGCTCTGTGTGCAGGCTCTGTGTCTGGGCTCTCCTCTAGTCCACCTCTCTTGTCCTGCTGTTGTCCTCTGGCCGCGCTGGCCAACCCTGTGTCCTCCTCTTGTCCTGTTGTCCTTTGGCCGCACTGGCCAACCCTGTGTCCTCCCCTTGTCCTCCTCTTGTCCTGCTGTTGTCCTCTGGCCGTGCTGGCCAACCCTGTGTCCTCCTCTTGTCCTGTTTTTGTCCTTTGGCCGCGCTGGACAACCCTGTGTCCTCCTCTTATCCTCCTCTTGTCCTTCATCTTTTTGTCCTCTGTTGTCCTCATTTTCTCCTGCTGTCGTGCTCTTTTAAACTGCTGTGCGAGGCAGGGAACAACAATTCTTACGGACTAACCTGTTTGGGGTCTGTGCTTGTACAATTCTTTCAAGGAAACTTATCAGAAAAAGTTTTTGTTGGCCCAATATTAGCAAGCCTGCCAGAGTGTGTTGGCGAATGAACGAAACGAATCAAACCCTAACGCAAATTGAAAGAAGTTGCTTTCAACATTGAACTTTGGGGGCAAGGGGTTCGTGACTGCTCTCTGACTCAGGGGATTAAACATGTTGTCCATCTACTGTAGTGCTCAGAACTTCTCTTATGCTTGTTCTCATGACAAGCGGCACTAGGCATATACCCGAAATGGTTGAAGATATGAGATTCGAAGCGCTGAATGATCGGGATGTTCATGGCATTCTGCAATTGATGAATCAGTGAACCAGCACAAGAACTGGTAGGTAGCAAGTGGGATCGGTGCTGTTCTGGTTGCGATTTTAACAAGTCAAGCCACATACAATAAACTCGGATGGAGTTTGTGGTCTCCCAAACTTAAAAGGCCAAGGCACTGTTCATGTTTGGTCACGAACGGTGGAGGGTCACCTTTGCTCTTGCTGCTGCATACTCCCATTTCACAAAGCCCAACGTGAAAGCTATCATTCGAGCCAACACTCTGCTGCCGAGTTGTGTCAAGCACTGAATTCAGTCTGGATTTGATTGCGGTGATGTCTTCGTAAACAGCTTGGTAAAGTAATTATCCATGTGTGAGCTGAATCAGTCCCGATATGATCCAGCAAAGTTATGTTGGGACAACGACCGACAACTTGTCGATGATGCAGTAAAACATCAAATCAAATCAAAGATTGATTTGGTCGGTATAACAATAGAGCTAAGTAATGCTAAATAGCTTTGCATTTACCCCGCCGAGCCCTTCACGCATCAAGTCATTCTCCGGTTCTATCAGAACCTTGTGGCAAGCACCATTAGGCATCTGTCGTCATTTTGCCTTCGAACCCCAGAAAGCACAGAAGTCAAGTCCAGTCCAGCTCAAACCGCTTACAGTCGCACCAAAGCTTGCAGCTCAGCACCCAAGGATCTCACAGTGCACCGCAGCCTGAAGCATCCGACGTGATACCGGGGACTGACGTGACACAGAAGCAAGAGATGAAGAAGATGGGTGTGTAAGTATATAGGTCATCCTTCTCTTCTCAGTGTGGCAATCAGATGTGAATGTCACATATGTCCAATGTGTCCCAATCCAGTTGGAACATGTTGTGTACAGCGCTTTTGGCTATCCACTCACCGCTTCAGTTTCAGCTCTCCAAGATTCTCCAAGTATCCACCGTAACAGAAAAGTAAGGGGTCGGTTTTGGGAGGCGCTTCGCTCAAACAGTCAGCAAGGTGTGTTCCCCAACCCATTGGCTTTGGCTCTCCAGATGGTCTTTGAGGGTTCTCCCTATTCTAAAGACATTCATATCATCCCGTGTCTGTTTTGTGTCACTTAGATCGGCTTCTTGATCCAATGGTTCGTCGATTTCCACTGCCCACAAACTGGAACTGCCTGACGAGTCCGCAGCTTCGCCACTGCTCCGCAAGCAGATCGCCATGAAATAAATTCGACATAATTCGAGGCAGATCGCTTATGAAGCAGATCGCCTACTTTCCACCTCTTACGTAGATCCAAGAAAAAGCTTCACTTGAAGCACATGAAGTCAGCATGTCCTACCTGATGCTGCAATGTCTCCTTCTATTTCAAGAGCGAATATGGACTCCAGGCTGCACTCCCGCTTGCATGTTCCATGGATACTCTCTTTGAATCTCCTTGACATGTCACCCACTACTCTGAGACTGGCGGCTCCGTTTAAGGGCTTGTGCTGGACTGTCCAACCAACCCTTGCGATGAAACAGCGTTGAGCTGCTGATGGAATGAATTGCATTGTCAACTTAAACCTGGCACAACCTGGCAACACGACTTCAATGCATAGCTGGTGTAAAGAAGAAGTTCTAGCAAAACGATTGCACAGAGCTGACCAGTATACGGTTCATGGAAACGATTTGGAAATTCGTTAGAAGTTGCAAGTTTAAGGTGCTCACGCTGCTCAACTAAAGGCTCACCCTGAGATCCCTACAGCAGCGTGAGACTCAAGGGTCTCGATCAGGGACTGCAGGTCAGGCACTGGAATCCGCTCAGAGATCTTGGGGAGCCAAGTCTATCCTAGAGTCCCTTACGCATTGAATCGGCATTGAACACGTGTGAATGTGTGAACACCATTACTGTACATAGATTCTCAAAGTCCAGTGAGGGAACTTTTCCTGGGCAAAGGTGAGAAACTATATAACTATGTCATGCTCCAGGCTATGGCCATCGATTGCAGCTGAGTATGCACTCCTTGCAAACGCTTTCAGGTTTTCCAACGTTCAATGCCAAATATCCCATCCACCAAACAGCCTTCACGCGCCAATGGGGTAAGGTCTGCCCCAGCAAGGCATTCCCACCTGAGCTTTTTCGGAGATGTTGAGAGTGAAGCAAGCGCCACATTGTGAATTTGAACAAATGGACCAGCAGTTAAACACAAACATGATTGCAGTTCCTGCTACAGGACGTTGCCAAAGCCAAAAGGCAATGTTCCCAATATTTGGCCCACTCTGAAAGCGCAGAACCACTAGACAGGACACCTCAATATGATTCAATATCAATATGCAAGCACCGGGCTTCCTACCAGATTTGCACAGGCCGACGGCTGACATGCGGGCCAAACGAATCAGTGAGCAGCGGACTCTTTCCAAGCAAGAAGGCACTCACGCAGCTAACCTCAGAAAACAAGGACGACTGTGACACCACCGTGATCTGCACCACGACACCGCCGTGATCTGCACCACTTCAATCGATGCGGGCAAGATACGATAGACGCCATGACGATGGAGGCAGCCACATCCTTGGCTTCTGGGAACTATAACAGCACAAAAGGATTATTTAGATCATTTTAGATCATGCAGTATCCCTATAAGCCCAGTGGTCGTTTCGGTTTCCAAGGCTATTGCTTTACTTGCGCTGCGCTGGTCTTGCATACGACATGGCTGTTGTTGTTTCGTGTGTTAGGAACCTAGTCTTTCAAGGTCCCAAGGCTTTGAATATGAGTTCCTAATTCCAAATTCCACATACGCGAGCTTATGCTAATGCGAAACAACATTAATTGCTGCTTGGTGGTTTCACCTCACTTGAAAGAGGGATCAATAATCTCAAGTAAAGGTTGAAAATAAAAATACAAAAAGATACCTGCAACCACCATCCAGATTGGCTTTCACACGAAGTCCACGTCTGTCTGTGTTTCTGCACATAGAACAAATGGAACCACATTCAGCCCCACCCACAGGAGAAAGAGCAGAAATCCACCACCATGGATGAGGATGAGCAGTTGATGATGAGTACGGCAGTACTGCTTGCTATAGACTTAACACGTGCCGGTTTTCATACGTAGTTGTATTCTTGGTGATGCAAGAAGATGTTGCACATGTCAGGGCGCACATCTTGCATCATCGTTGTCTTTAGGAGTTCTAATCAAGTGCCTACGTTGGGGCACTTCTGTGATGATATATCGATTGTAGGGATGGACCACTGGGTGTTGCACTGTACACCAGTGGGTGCGAAAGCCGTGTAGACTGGATAGACTTTGAGTTCCTGTAGCTAGGTGGATGTCTTGAATCATGGATTGATTGGTGAATGGTGGCAACTTGCAACATCTCTCAAATTAGTGCCTCATGTGAAAAAGCTTTTGGTGCAGGCGGTCTCCGTCACGATGGACGTGAATAGATTGGTTGATTGCAGGGGGGGTGCAGCCAAGAAGCCGGCACGCCCGTCTGCAACTGGTAGGAAAAGCCCAAGCCTCCAGGGACCAAGTATGAAAAATACATTTGGAGTCAACAACCAAAGTAAACATCCTCTGTTAAATCTCCGGAAGATTTCAAGACCTATCATGTTCGTCTTAGATACTCACTTGATCTCACATCAGTCATATAGTCCGAAAATCTGTCACTGTGACCAGAGAAGACGTCGATCTTAGCAATTACGTGGGCGATCACTGCAAATATAACATGCTGTAGACAGCACAGACTCTAACAAAGAGTAAACCAATGGAACGCACCCTTGTCTGCACCGGAACGCACGGCCATGTGGCCCGCCTACCAGACCAACCAAAGAGGATAGAACTCCGCTGCTGGCCTTGACAGAAGCTAGCGCTTTCGAAACGCATGCAATATATCATATATATAATTATTAATATATATATATATATATCATATATACTTCAAACGAAAATGATTCTGTTGCCAATGCTAGAAAGCAGTTGCAAAGCAAACGCAATTGAATGTGTATTGGTGAAAGGCGCTGAGGCATGTCAGGCATGTCAGTGTTCTTTCTGACGATGTATGCAGCGGACTCGCACTTCTATAATTTACCAGTCCAAAAATAATCCAAAGACACAGCTGCCAGGCTGAGAAAGCACTCCCTTACTCAAGAACACACTCAGTGCATCCCAAACCATAAGGATGTCCTAGAACGCAATGATTTAGTGTCATTGCCTTCTTTTGGAACTTTAGGTCTTTCAATGAACCAAAGCTCTGCGCCCACCTCAGTGAAGGTAGCCGTAGACATGACCTCATTCAGTGAACGACAAGACCTCGGCTCCTTTACTCCTTTGCTTCGCAAACGGACACTCACACGTCACATGCCCATGACACTGGTATCCAATGAGCATGGCCGGGGCCCCGTGGACAGCATATATGATCAACCAAATGCATGCTTTCCAAGATCACTTATCTCTGCTAGGTGCTTCGTGGCACATCTCTGGATGGGCTTGAGACGTGGAAATCTGCCCAACCCTGCCAAGGCAGCACACTTTGTGCGCATGAACAAAGGCTCTTCTGAGCAGCTCGGCGTCTCGGCCCTGGCCCAAATATTGAGCTACCTGAGAAAGTGGTCAGTCACACTGCACAACGCGTAATGCTTCATCAGTCGAGCTTAGTATATATGTAGTTGTCCACGAGGGAACTCTTCATGCACAAATGACTACAGGTGTGTTTCATACTGCTCCCAAATGACTGCAGAATGTTGCTGCGCAGCGTGCACCCATCAAGTCTATGAATTCTGCAAGAATAGGAAACAGCGTGTCTAGCCAGCGATGTGGCTTGAGCAGCTCTTTCATGCGGACATGCCTGCCGAAGGTCCCCAAGCAAAGACCTAGCAGGCAGGAAAATAATGGCCAGACCACTCCTAAGTGATATCAAAACACAAAATTACTCACGTCATACTGTGCAAAACAATTAGTGATACTGTAATCAACTGTGCCATACCAAAACACCTGTGCAATGGTGCACAGAACAAAGAAACATGTGCAAGATATTCTGCACCAAGTGCTGGATTGGCTCTCCCTGATCCCTGAGACTGGAACACAAGTATCCCTGCATCTGAACAAGTTGTGGTGGTCTTTTGCGAGTATAAGTCAGCTGCTATTCTCAGTCGGCCAACGTGCCAATTTAGAGGCAAACATAGCCCAACAACGAAAGCAAGTAGTCTCATATTTCGAGCAAAAAAGACAGCCAGTCTGGAAGTGATTGAGATAAGCGTGGCGAATTTGCTGCGTGAGTATTATGTCATATTATACTATATAAAATATGTTACCCACGAAACCATGGTTGTCAAACCTTTCCAGCACACCAATATCCCTGCCCAAGCTACGTGGAGGGAGCTCCAATCTTCTCCCGCTCGGCTTGTGAGAGGATCTCTCTGTACCTGGTGTGAGATGAATTGAAGAGGCATCTCAGTGGTCAAAGGAGAGAACGATGGGGCGATGGGGGTGGGGGCACGCAGCTCGGACGGCAGAGCCTTGCGCAAAAGCGTTGGTGAACTTGGCAATGTGAACTTGGCAATGTGAACTGCGTCGTTTCTGATGTCGAAACACCATCCAGGCAGCCTTCCAGCATCGCACTCACAAGGAACACAGCAGCTGGCCTTGCAGTATGGCCGGTCTATACCAGTCGTACCAGTGGACCGGACAATAAAATAAGTCAATCTCCAAGAACAATGTTGCTAGGATTCCAGCACGTCATGACATTGCAAAAACACCCTCTTTGGGTTTCCTTTTGACGTCTTGAACACCAACTACGATTGATAAAAATAGCAAAATGAGTCGAGGCCAATGCTTTTGGAAGCAGCGCAGAACAGAAGTTGCACTGTTTGGACCGGTTTCTCATACTTTTTCTGACCCCAAACACCGGTGGAACCAGGACCGGTGGGTCCCTGGCAAGACCAGGAGATCTCCGGGCCTTGGCGGAACCGTCCGGGGATCACAGTGGTTATTGGTCGTGGGTTCCGATGTTGTTTCAATTCCATTGGATATGTGTCATAAAGGTCTGCAAATTGGTACTGGTCTCGATCTACACAGCCACAGCTGTTGAGGGTTCTTGTGACAAAGGGTGGCACTGATCACTGATCTCGTTGAAGTTGGGTTGCGGGAGGTATTTTGCAAAGGCCTATGCCACGCCCAGACCTCCATCCAAATTTTACAGAATATCAGAAATGACCTGCCAAAAAGGCAAGATTTACTGATTTATATTGTTAATTGATTTTGTGAATTGATTTCTCGCCTTTAGTGTGCCCAGTAGGTGCCACTGGCTTGAAGCTCAGGCTCCATACGTGACTCCGCGTGTTGCGGCTTCCAGGAGCTCTTGCACACCAAGACCCAAAGGAAGAACCTCTGTTGCGAAGCCGAGCAGAACCCTGATGCAACGCTTGGAAGAAATAAGGTCTAAGGTCCTAGCCCATACCTGAATTAATCTCCTGCTGTTGTTGGTTCTAAACATGTGGAGCTGTTCTTGTGCGCATGATGCTTACTTGATGGGAGTATGATAAGCTTCTTGCAGCCATGCTTTCCATGGCTGATGCCAACACTAAGGCTCCCACTCCGCCAACAAAAAACAAAAACCTCACAAAGCAACTGACACTGGGCTGAAATATTGATCGAAGCTAATTCCAACTGTTGGAACCATAGCAGTGGCGCTGCTTCTAAAACGAATGTCTGCATTTCTGGCTTTGCTCTAGGTCCTCGACACAAAAGATCGATCAGCGGTAATGTAACGCCTTGGGATGACGCTGCTCTTACAGGGGGAAAGCAGGAAAGCCCATCGGCAGGAAGCTTGAGTTTGTGGACAGTAGCTCCCTGATTTGTAGATTCGTTGTGGGAATTCTGGCACATATGGCTTTCTGACCGGAAAAGCAAGGACAACTTGAACAAATGCACATTGCGGAGACGTGCAGCAGACTGCCAAAAGACTCTTTCTCTTTGATGGAAAAGGCTAATGATTGCTTTGTGAGTCGCAACGAACGAGTCTCCTCCTGCACTAATATTCTTTTTGGTTGCATGACAAGGGGCTAGCAAAGCCGTTTCATGTCTGGTGTCAAAACTTAGAACAATTCAACATTAATAGTGGGTCCCTGTGCTGGCCGATGTGTATGCATGATTTCACACTGCATTGCTGTAAATAGCACCAAGCAACAAAGGCGCGTAGCCGTAAGGATGTGCCACATCACGCTTCCTGAACAAACATGAAAGACAACATATTTCTTAACTGGTATCCATCTTGACTTGTGTTTAATTGTGTTTTAATCAAGTGTCCAGAATGCTTGCGGGACTTGCATCAATTTGCTTCATCTCTTCTTGATTCTTCTTGAAAGGTACATACTTAGAAAAGACATGAAAAAACGACACACACACACACACGCACGAAATGTTGGGGGCCCTGAAAGCACCAGTCATCCTTCTACATTGACTACGGGAACTCGCCTTCCAGAGCGGCTCAACTCCATGAGACGGTAAGCATAGTTAGCCACATCAGCAATGGAGTGCATCCTGCAAACATGTTTCAAACGCAGGGCCATAAAAATTGCAGTAGTGCCAAGTAGTGTGTATTGTAACCGGCTCTTTCAACCACCATTTGCCAGTTCAAACATATAAACAAGAAATCCCTAGAATTTCCACATCCATGGAAGTAGACTTGTCTTAGACTGACGCAAGCAACCTCTGTAATTTGATGACAGCAGGTTCAGCCCTAGCAGCAACACAAAGCAAATCCAATTCTGTCCAATTCTCCCACAATTGAGTGCCCCAAAGGAGTCAGAAGGCACAATGTAGGCAACTGGTAGTACTCTGTTGGCACCAAACCTGGTGTCTATTAGTCATGATTGTCACTGCCCTCAACCCTTCTTCACTGCCCACTGTGGCAAGTCCAAGACTCCCAACCAATCAGCGAACATCGCATGAGAGCCGGTAGACATCCATACACCACCCTTAACCTTAGGACACTTTCGAGGTGCGTCGGGTGCATTTCTGAAACCTTTGACTCCGGGGACACGGTTTCAAAAACTCCAATTGCAAACCTGTGCAAAAGCTGCCAACTCACCGTCTCATGTGAAAACTAACAGAATTGAAAAGCTTTTCAGAATGAATATGTACCGTGCGAGGCTACAGCAAACAGTGTTTGGACACCACTGAGAGTCGTTATCGATGACTTCAGATTCGCCAAGTTCAGCTTTGAGCATTCAGGCTCCCATGCAAAGCAAATGCAGCTATTTGTCTTCAAGCCCTGCATGACAGACCTGGAGAGAATGTCATGGCAAGAAGTATACCTCCTTCGGGATGTTATCTTGTGCAAGCTGCCACCATGCACTTGCTGCAAAGCTTGACACATCGTCGGCCCAAGGACATGCAAGAGATTTTCTTGTCGTACATCCTGTGCAATATCAACCAATCCAACGAACTGGCAAGCAAGTCTGTGAACTACCCTGTGTCAAAGTCTACATCAAAACCTTGTGAACCTTGTGAAGCGTAGCTTCAGTAGCTAGGCTGAGTGACTGCCATCCCTGAGTCGTTGTGGTCGAAGGGGCATTGTACCTCGACAGTACAAGCTCTGCCTTGAAAAGGTCACTCGTGTTGCTGTTCCAAGCTGTGATGCCCTGTACATCCAAGCTGGCAGTCAAGTGAGTAGTGTCAAAACGCTTTGGACATACTATTTTTGTGTTCGCATTGACTTACACAATTCTTCGGCAGTATTACGCACAACCTATAAGAACTGAGTTTCAGCTTGAACCGGCTATTTTGTTTCTTGTGCTCCTGCATTGCTCATGCACCCAAGAACAGTCTAAGGCTGCTTTTTGAGAGCTTGCTTCCGCAAGGCAAACACATCGAGTGCCCTAGCTTTTCTTCCACAAACCCTTCAGCAATGTTTGCACCAGGTAGCGTTTGACTTAATGAGGCAGGCATGGGTCAGGTTGACATGCTGTTCATAGGGGTCATGTGTTCCTTGTTTGCATGTGGTACATAGATCAACATTGCAACTCCTCAGCGAATCCCAGGTTTACCTAGAATAGAAGGCCTTTTACATCCTTTTCTCCCTCTTGTTGGTTATAGCAGCGGGTTTGCCCCAAAGTCTAGTCAAGGCTTGCGAACGTGTGGACACTGTAGACAAGGGCACAAGGTTTGAAGGGAACTTGCTGCAGAAACACAATGATCTCATATTGATATCTCATGTTCCGCTGTAGCACAAGAGCCCGGTCCGACCGTCGAGCGGAAAACGTCCGTGAGGTCGGACCGTCTTGCGAACCCGTCGACGTCGTTGGTGCAACGTGGAATCATGGGGACACAGCTTTGGGCTGATCAGTCGGTGGTGACAATCAACTTCCATTTTAAGGCCCCGGCCAGTATCTTTTCTGCGAAATGGACGGGCCTCATGGTTCGTTGACCAGGGTGCAAGCGACTAAACATTTAGCAAGCCTGGGTGCTGGTTGCGCTTGTAGATTTGACTGTGCAACCAGCAACTCCACAAAAGACTGGTTTGGGTCCATCATGGGATCCTTCCAACTACCGCTGACAGCTCACCACGAGGCCTCTCGGCAAAGCTGCGGGAGTCGCATGGCCATCGTGCCTTACAACTGGGACGCATGGCGCTGCTCGTCCGTTTCCAAAAGTCAGGCTTCGGCCCCTTCGGCTTGATATGGCTCTGACTGACGTGGCATTCCATGCCGCTAGGCGGCGCTTGGTGACGGCGAATCGAAGACGGGTATATAATGCTTAATTATGCGTAAAACTTGCGTGTTGAGTGTATGTCATGCTGTGTGTGTGAATGCAATCTCACTTACAGCAAAGATCTTGGATCAGGACGTCCACTCGTCGTGCTGGCCATACCTTTGCCGCTTGGGCACATTCGACGGCAAATCAACAGCAGTATATATAGAACTGCTGCAGCCATGTCTGATGTACTTTCTATTTTGACTCAGGTGTGGGCAGCTTCCGCGACGCATCTGACTGTGCCTCCCAAGTTGTCATCTGCTGAGTCTGCTGTTGCATTTGGTCAAAGTTCCAGTTCTGCAGTGCAGGTTCTTCTCCGGATGAAGAGCGGATGACAAATGCCCTTGATGCATTGTGCCAAGTAATGTCCCATCTTAAACATATAACAAAACCGGTCCCCTTACCCCCTTGCAAACAATCAAGGGAGAGTGAATTGCGTCACGCCCGCCAAAAGCATTTGGGATTGAGGAGGAGGAGGAGGAGTAGCAGTCGTAGTAGTAGCAGTCGTCGTCGTCGTCGTCCTCGTCCTCGTCGTCGTGGTAGAAGTAGTCCTTGTCGTGTAGTCGCAGTAGCAGTAGGTAGCAGAGGTCTAGTAGCAGCAGCAGTGGTAGCAGTAGCAGTGGTCTAGTAGTAGTAGTAGTAGTAGTAGTAGTAGTAGTAGTCGCAGTCGTAGTCGTAGTCGTAGTCGTAGTTGTTGTTGTTGTTGTCGTTGTGGTCGTCGTCGACGTCGTCGTCGTCGTCGTAGTCGTTGTAATAGTGGTAGTAGTAGTCGTCGTCGTCCCAGCAGTAGCAGTAGCAGTATCAGTGGCAGTAGTAGTAGCAGCAGCAGCAGTAGTAGTAGTAAGTAGTAGTAGTATGTAGTAGTACTAATCGTTGTGGTGGTGGTGGTGGCAGAACAACAGAAAACTAAGCTCGCATACGAGCTCTAATTAATATATTTCCTGGGGCTCCGAGTTTACTTATCAATTCCACCCCCCAAAGCAATTCTTATCATTCACTTCCCCTGGGCTTGTGCATTGCCCATCACTACCCCCTTGAAAAATTGTTTGGAGCAGTGACATCAATTTGACATCAATGAGTTTTAATAAGGGTTTTCAACAAGTGTTCAGGTCAGAGTTCCATGAATCAAGCAAACCTCAGAAGGGTCAAGCAAGGATCTTAAAGGACAGCACTAGCAGCAGAACAATAGAAAAGTAACCGGATCTTTAAAAACCTCCTGGTTGATTGTTCAATTCCTACCCACTGAACTATTCGGGGTGTGGGAATAGTTTGCGAATGCTTGTTATTATTCCCTCCCACCCACTTGACTATTTAGGATTGAACATGATGATTTTCTATTGCAGCAGCAATACTATCAATCTATAGTATACTCCAGACATGGATTGTCCGACCACAATGTGCACACACAAACAGAAACAGTTGTGCACACGTCCTTCCTGCTTTTGTATGCTGGAACCAAGGCAACTGTTGGGCCGCTAGGGTGCAAGCTGTATACTGTGCACATCAATCTATATGCTGAATCTACTGTGTATCAACTTCATGGTTCATGAATGGAATCATTGATCATTCTGGGGGTCATTCAATTCAAGTCTCTGGAAAGCAACTATCACTGATCGAAGTCCCTGGTCCCCATCGTCCCTGCCTGCCACCGAAGCAACTTGCTCTGGAAATGATCCAACCTGGGAGAGAAGCGGCGGTCACTAAAGATCAATGCGGACGAAGAAGAAAATGAAAAATGTCCAAAGCATCTCTTCTGCTATTGGCCTATGGGCCCCATATGGGCCTATGGGCGTAGGAGGAACCATTCAGCTTCGAGCTTTCGAGTGGCATCAACCACTGGGTAATGTGAGTCAAGACTGACAGTCTTCCTGACAAAAAAACAACTGGGCTAGTGAAGTACACATAATTTATTGAAGATTCAATCAGATACCCCACTATTTTGTGAACCATAGCTTGGACAGTTATTTTGCTGTATGGCTTTCTCCCGCCCGCAATGTGCTGCTTTCGTGCATCTGTTTGCTGCTGCTCACAAAGCGAATGTCAAGTTTCCAGACTCCCCTCAGATCCCTGGCAAGCTCTGCTCACTGTGCTTTCTCAGCGCAAGCCTAGGGCCATCACAAGGTTTTCAATGTGATTTGTCAGATCAGTTCACACTCAGGCCTAAATTTCCTGATTCATACCATTCACAGCTTTTGCTTGGCTTAAGATGAATTAATTCAAATAAAACAAGCTTTTCAGGCAATATGCCAACTTACAGGCGTGAGCAGAATCGCATCCCCTCTGGGTCTAAGTTTTGAACGCCACCACCTCCTTCAAGGAGTATTGCTTGAAAGGCGCCTGAAGAGAGATTCGAACGCACGACGCACTTGTCTGTGACGTCTGTCCAACTGCGATCACGCAAGCAGGATTGCATGGGGCTAGAGCGTCGTGCTTTGGCTTTAGCAAATGGACCCAAATCCGAGCACCTGCTCAGCGTCGAATGGATTGGCTTTGACCATGTAGTTCCTTGGTAGGACACCGAGCTTGTGTACCCAGCAAAACTTTGCATTGGACACTTGCACTGGCAGTCCTTGGCATAAGTTTAACTACAGTAATTACTTGCAAAATGCACATGTTCACCGCAACCTGCAACCTCAACCATATTGACCATATTGTTGCAGGAGACTAATACAAGGCAACCATCCCCTTGGTGTCGCACTCCCCAAGCCTGATAGAAGCTCAAGTTCATGCTTTTGCATATCCAGGTGTTTGCTACGTACTGTACAGTAGTGCTGCTGTCCAAACAAAGCCAAGAAGCAAACATGCTGCCGTCAAGACCAATAAGAACAAATGAGTCACGGTGAAAGGCTCTGTCGACAGCCCACAGCCACTCTGAAAGGAAAAACCATACTGTACCCCCTTAAAAAAGCAGCATTACTGATTAAAGAATATGTCATATGTGTGGTACCTTACACAGAGTGGAGCAACAAGGAAACAGTTCTTCTGCTGAAAATGAACAGTCAGATAACTTGTTGACTCTAGCAAGCTGTCTTCTAAAGTTTGCCAGCGGCACTCTTGCAAGTCATCGCGCGTGAGGTTGAACATGCGTCGAGCCTCGACAGCAAAGTCTGGCTTTTGTCAGGATATAAACCTGATGACAAGGTCACTTCTTTGTAGTGAAGGGCTCGCAGATCCCAAACCAACACGACTTTGGACGAGACAAACAAATCTTTATGTGTGTTTCTCTGAACCGAACCCACATTCTGCATGCTCGAGAAAGTCAAAGAATGGCCGCCAATGGCCTCTGATCCACGAATCCAAATATCGTCTGGTTCCTTCAAGTGCGAAGCAAGAAGTAGTGCCAGCATTGATAAATTGTCAATGGTGTCAACGCAGGTGAGACTAACCTCCTGCTAATTTGATCCCACTTTGCTCTGCAATACTAGCCTTATAACTTTCTACCCAGCCACAGCAGCATATGTGCAGTTTGCATGTCCCAAGGACCAGTTTGGATGTAGCAATCTGTATGTATCATGAAAGCCCTTGGGCAAATTGTATGTCCCAAAGTAAGTACTCAGTAAGTGTCCTGACACACTTGTGTGTTGTGTTTGTGTGGTTCCAAAAGCAAGTGAAAACATGTGCTGCAACAGCGCACGCATCACATTTTTTCTGGGGCGCACAGCCCGCAGGCAGCAGAAAGTAATGTACAACCTGTGGCGCACAGCCAGCAGGCAGCCATGACATTGACATGACCACTCAGGTCCCAATTACCTAATTAACAGGTGGCTTGCGTGGAGGCTGCCGACATCAGCACAAATTAAAGGACAAGTTCAGTGAGTTCAGTGTTCAGGAACCAGGAAACAGTTCTCGCTGTAAATTACAGTTACTTACACTATTTTACTATTTTTTAGATATATATAATATATATATATTTATATACAAATATTATATTATTCTACATGGCAGCCCCAAGAAAGAGCCTCCCTTCAGAAAAAAACAGCTGCGTGACCAGCTGAGCTGAGCCCTTCTTAGGTCAGCCAAGTAAGTCAGAGGCCGATTGATACAATTGCGGTTGGATCAATTCGATCTGGTCTCCTGAAAGCGTGGTCAAGCTCTCCCTGATCACAGTGCGAGCCTTGTCCACTTGTGTTGCGTCCAGCCTCAAAGCGATCACCAAGAATTGCTCAACCATGATGACCTTGATCAAGAGTTCATTCTCCTTCAATGCCGCCAATCGCTCTTGGAATGTGCTGAAGACATGCCCAAAGCCGCTTTCTTCACCATCACAATCCGAATGCTTCTTCAAGTAGGAGTCAGAGATGAAATCCTCATAGAATGCCGCAGCTGCAACTTCCTGCACTGCACACAAATAAATTGCAAATTGCATTCTGGCATTCTGCCTTCTAGCTAGCTAGCAGCTGGCAGCCAGCTACCCGGCTACCTACCCGGTACCTGGTAGTAACTAGTAGCTATAGTAGTAGCTCCCGGTAGCTGCAGCTGCGGTTGTATGCGCTATGTCACTATGTCACTATGCACTGTATGCACATATGACAGTGACTTATGTCGTCATTGTGTAAGTGTACAGTGTACAGTGTACAGTGTAGTGTACTGTTACTGTTGCTCTTACTGCCCTGCCCACTGTTGCTGTTGCTGCTGGCAAAGAAAAAACACCAGGAACCTTTGGAGAGTCACAGCGAGTGAGGTCAGGTATTGCTGTGGCAGTGACAGTTGGTTACAGTTACGTTACATTTACACAACTATAGTCTATAGTTACTATAGTTAGTTAGTCACTCAGATTAGATCCCAATATGTTTGTCAGACTGTCAGACCAAATTCAGATGCCAGTTCAGTCCAGTTCACTAAAGACTCAGACTCAGACCCAGACTTAGAGTCAGTCACCAGTCACCAGCCAGTCGGTCACATGCCACAGGGAATGAACAGTCTGGAGTCTGGAGTAAGTCACTTCAATAACCGCCGTCAAAACCTGACCTAACCAACCTAACTAACCGACAAACCAACCATGCCTAACCGACCTGGTTGACTCATGACTCATGACATTTATATGACATATGACATATGACTGACATTGTCATTATACTACGACGCGTGTCCTTGGAGAGAGAGCCGACAAACTCACGTAGTGGCGCCCCCTTGAGCTCCATTTGAAGCAGCGTTGGCACTGCTGCGTTCACAGCAGCATCCACGTCACTTGCTGGTGTCAATTGCTCTTTCCAGGTCCCAACCCCACCTTTCTCCAGAAGCTTTTGCACTTTCTGGTTGCACTGATTCATTGCCTCCTGGCGAATCACTAGATGCTTTGCCAGGGTGTCGTAAATCAGCTCACAATGCAAGAGTTCTTGAAACGGTCCAGCAGAATCCAGCATGTAGAGATTCCAAGTCAATTCCGACTCTGACCACTGTGATTGTGACTGCTGTGGTGGCTGTGGCTCTGGCTGAGCCGGTGACTTCACCTTCGGCTCTTCAGGAGTAGTAGCGGCAGCGGACTCAGGGTCATTGCCGTTGCCATTGCCATTTTTTGCCACTGCCACAAGAGCTTCCACCATGGAGTCTGAGTCATCAGGAGCTGTTGGTGCGGTTGGTGGTGCACCTGCACCTGATTCGACACCACCGCTGGCATCGCTATGCTGGCTATGCACCACCGACTCCACCTCTGACTCCTTCTTGGACTCTCTGGTTTGAGCGGGGCAAGGAGCAGGAGAATCAGTGCAATGGACATCCTTGAGCAACTGAAGCTTCTCAATTGTCACGCTTAGAGTGGAGTGAGTTGTGAGCACTGCACCGATTCTTGCATTCTGCTTGTCCTTCCGGATGCGCTCAGCAAGATCAGCCCCAAGGATCTTCAACTGGTTCAACGCACTTGCAAAGCTGTGGCCAGCTTTGAGGATAGCAATGTGGAGGTTGACGCATTCTGTCCTCGGCAGAGCAGCAGCAGCAGCAACTTCAACCCCCGACATAGTGACATAGTAAGGCCTGACCTGACCTTTCTCGTCATGGTGAGTGTCAGAGTCACAGTCATATTATAGTGAGTGTGATAGTGAGTGTCATAGTCATAGTCATAGTCACAGTCACAGTCAGCAGTATTGTATAGTACATATTTAGTAATATATGATAAACGTGAGCTACTACAGCAGGCGAGTTGTTTCATTCGGCCAGATGGTGATTACTATGATTACTTACTATTACTATCAACACATTATATTATATATTATATACTATATATATATTTTAATATTCATATTCATGTCATTCTGCCGCATTTGATAGTGCAAACTGAAACCCGGACACTGGACATCTGAACACCTTGGATCTTGGACCTTGTTGTTTGTATTTATTAGTCATTAGTCTAAGTCTGAGTTTACAAAGAATGAAGCAAGCGCCCATTGAAGCCACTCCAAGAATCTCTGCGTGATCTGTCTCAATGTCACCATTTCGAAGGGCCAAATTCAAGACTTGGGAGACCATGCCACATTTTCTCAGGAGCTGGTTGTATGTGATCTTGGACAGGTCTTGCTTCACCTGACATTGTGCTCAATACTCTGGACTCTGGACTTAGTCACTCTGGTGTAGGGTGGAGTTTGGTTGAGTGAGCAGAGCAGAGTCTTGAGTAGAGTCGAGTCGGAACCAATAGTAAATAGTAGTTAGCAGCAGTTAGTTAGTTACATAGTTAATAAGTTACAGTTACAGTTGCAGTTACTAGTATTAGTACTAAGTACTAGTTACTAGTTAGTTGGTTAGTTAGTTAGTTAGTTAGCTAGCTGCTAGCTGCTAGCTGCTAGCTAGTTAGTTAGAGTCTTAGTTATTGTAGTTAGTTAGTTAGTTAGTTAGTAAGCCTCGCAATAGTTCAGAGCCAGGGGTCTCCGACAATGACTCCGATTGTGACTACTAACAGTGGAATTGAGTCTAGATCTCTCTCGAGAGAGCCCTACCCAGGCCCTACCCTACCTACCATTTATGACCTACCTACCATAACAAAATGTGACATGAACCATGACCGCCATGGCCGCGGCCTCTTTGATCACACCACGCAAGAATTGGACCACAAGTTTTTGAGCAGCAACCAAGACTTCATGCTTGTCCTCGGGGATAACCACTTTGGACAGGCGGTTGAGAAGTGGCTGGATTGCATCACTTGACACCAAGCCGCCATCCTTCTCCCCGAGGTGGGACAAGTCAACCAAATCTGCAAGTGACATGGCTTGCTGATTCTCTGTCATCCACTGAGTCACCCGGGCAGCATGGTCTGCTAGCTCCACTTGCTTCAGGGCGCAAATCAAAGCTGAAACCCATCTAGTGCGCAGGCGTAGATCACTTTCCAAGTGAGAATTGGCCAGAATAGCATCTGCCTCTGAAGTCAAGACTTTTCGGAGCAAAGTATTGAGATCCCTCACTTCCAACTTTCGCATACCAGATGTGATGGCCTTGATGGCATCAGTTAGCTGCTCTAAGCGCTCAGTGGTCAATTGAATGCCTCCATTCTCCAGCCCCTGTAGTGTTTGAAGCATGCGATCCCTCTCGGGACGTAGCTTGACACTGGTAGCAGCTGTGCGGACATACTCATCTGCCATGACATTCCAGTGTTGGCGAACCAACTCACTCAGGTTCTTTTCTAAGGCTTGTCCCTGGCCTGTGTAGGATACAAGCCACAGCACATCCTGAGTGCTGACTGTGGAATTGATGTCAAGCATTCCAAGGATGAACCTGCAAATCTTTTGCACCCGGCCACAGCTAGCCGTCACCGCTTCATAAGCTTCCTCAGACACAAATCCTTCAGAGTCCTTTCCTCGAAGGGCATCAAGTGCTTCGAAGCAAGATGTCTCATCATTTGACAATGCCTTTGCCAAGATCCTCAAGTGGTTGGTGTACTGCTCGACTTTTGTGAACATCATCCGGAAGGTGGTGGAAGATAACTGCTCAATGAGGGAAGCCGCAATGCCCTGCAGCAGGTCACGTTTGCAGCAGACCCAACAATCCTCTGTCAACAGTAGTAGGTCAGTAGGTCCTCCTAGAGTCCTAGAATTCCTCCATCTAGAATCTAGAATCTAGAATCAGAAGAATCTAAAGTTAGCCTGAATCTAAGAGTGTGGACAGAGCAGCGTCTGGACTGTGGACCTAGACTCAGACCCGACCTTGGGCCTACCCTACCTGGCCTACTGTAGGTGGACAACATATAGAATCCACCTGAACAAAACAAATTCAAACACAATTGAGTTGGATGACTGACTTTAGTCAGTTCAGGTTACAATTACAATTACAAGTCAGTTTACGTTTACAGCTGTAAACGGCCACAGTTCCAATTACAGTTACAGTTACAGGT